GTGTGTGTGTGTGTGTGTGTGTGTGTGTGTGTGTGTGTGTGTGTGTGTAGCGGCACACTGAATCCAGGCCATGATGTGCCGTGCGATGTGCAGCACACACGTCGGCGCTGGAGAGATTCTTCTGAACCCACAAAGCTCCGCCCCCTCCTCCACCGCAGCCCTGCTGCTTCTGTGAGGTGGTTGCCATGACAGCCTGCCTGCACCGCAGCCATAAATGGAACAAGAAGGAAAAGAAGAAAAGGAGACATCCATAGCATTACGTTTCTGTCACACTCTGACTACTGGAGGGACTAGAGAGAGAGAGAGGGAGGAGGACATCAGAACCTTCATCCAAACAGTCTTTACAAACAGACACACACTTCTCATGCCAACACCTACACATCTTGGTCGTCTCTCCTAAACAGTCAACGTCTTGTTGTCCCGTCTGCTGCCAGAACCAGACGGAAAATCTGTTGTTTGTTTCATCATGGCAGAAAAAAATAAATCTATTCATTCACCAGAGGACAAAGCACTGGTTACAGTCGTCCTGCACAGCAGGGACAACTCACTCCTCACAAACCAAAGACTCACAGTCACGCTCACACTGAGTGGTTCACCACACATTATGAAGTATTATTAGAGGACTTGAAGGAACAGAGTAGCTTTTTCTCTCCATAAGCATTAAAATAAAACACTAAATCTGATCACCCACCACCTTTTATGCCAGAATTTTAAACTAATCCAAAGAGATAAGAGGACAAATGAGGAAAACCTGTTAAATGACATGTGTGGTCTCATGAGGTATTATGAGATTGTGTGTTCTTGTAACATTTAAAGGGGAAATCAAATCTCAAAAAGTTGCTATTTCATGAATGTCATACAGTGAAACACTTAAAGAAAACATCTCAGGTACCATTTTTTCCCCCTTAAATCTACTTGAATAACTTGTTTTTCATGTTTTAATCTCTAAATGCTGAAGTGAAGTGATTTTGGGGGCGGAGTTACCGTCCTAGGTGCATGAAGACAACAGTAAAGAACCTGGAACGTGATTATTATCCTGTTTTTTATCATTTAAAATGGAAGCAGAAGACTTTTTCTGAATCAGAGGAAATGCCTGAGCTTTTTGTGAGTAAAAGATTTACAGCCATACCAGCATGAACCTGAGCCGACAGCTGGATCTCAGGATTCAGATCAAAATTCTTCACATTTTGTTTCTGATGATGAGGATCAGGGCCTACAAGATGAGCCCAGTGACACAGCTGGGAACGTGGAACCGATTATCATCATTGTAATTTTTCATGTTCAATTTGGTGATTCTCTGCATTAAACTGAATTTCTTTTCTGGAAATAAGAATAGCAATGCTAGTGTTTTTCATGCGTTAGCCATCGCATGCTAACCTAATGTGGTGGTGCGTGAAGCACGTGGCGGCATTTACTGCATTTTGTTAAAATATGAATAAATATAAATGTATCAAATGAATGAACTGTTGAAATAATCTTAGAGTTTTTTAGCACGTTTTTAAAGGGGCAATTTCATGTAAAAACAACTTTTTTGAGTTTTACATCACGTTATAATGTTATACTCTCATAAAAAAAACATGCCCAAAGCCTTGCTTTGACTCATTCATGCATGTTTGAGAAATCCTGCAGCGTTTTTAGGAAGCCATGCTGAGGAGCAAAACGACAGGTGGGGACCAGAAACGCCTTTTGGGACCAGAAACACCCCTGGGACGTGTCTTTAAAGTGTATCTTACCCCCTCTATGAAAAGATAACTCCGCTCCAAGGCGAAATTTGAAAAATGCATCAAAGTGGGTAGGGGAAGTGGAGGTTAGGGAGCGGAGGTGTGGCCAGGACGAGAGAACGTGACAGGCAGCTAGCATTAGCATAATTGATTCTACATGGAGAGTGACCACAGTATCGCAGAGAGTTACATCTCTGAACGTCTGAGGTGGAGGATTTTCACCCCACACCAGCCTCGGACAGAGGAGGAGGAGCGCTCCGACAGCCTGACAGAAAAAAATAAAAGCATACAGCTGCAGCTGCTCACAGGATCGCTAGTTTAAATCAGGAATAAAAGTGTTGGGTCTTGTTTGCCTGAAGTTCGGTCCGGTTTGCATACATTTCAATCTCTTCGGACATTTACCTGTATAAACAGCCCTAAAAATCCATAAATTTTGCAAAAAGTCCATACAACTCGCACCCGCGGGAGGGGGCCGGGTGTGCCTGCTGCGAAGCAGGAGGAAAGGAGAGAGGAAAATAACTTATTTCTAGCGGCAGAACAGGTTGGAAGATGGCTGTTTGATGTTATTTATTGTTTTTTTAAATCATCCTATAGGCTCTGACATGTTAGATAAATTTGAAAATGAGGTTTTTAAAATATCCGTAAGACTTGAAAAAAATCAGTAAGATTGCTCTATACGTCCATATACCTGCAAAATGATGTCAAATCTTTATAATTTACAGATAATCTGTACAAGTTGATACGTATGTGTGGGTTCAGGCTGAAACTGCCCCGCTGCCTTTCTTTCCCCTCCTCCCCTCCCGCTGTGCAGGATTACTGCTTTGTGTGTGTGTGTGTGTGTGTGTGTGTGTGTGTGTGTGTGTGTGTGTGTGTGTGTGGCCAGAGAGAGAGAGCAGCGCAGCAGTCAGCTCTCCCCACCCGAGGCTGAAGGTCAACAGACGATCATGCTAAGCTTGCTAACTGTTCCACCCTCTGACTGCTGCAGGGGCGTGTCTTAGAGAGAGGCTTTTATACCAGAACACAGCCGCTGTGACGAAACCGTGGAGAAGACACGTCACAGCGGAGAGCCGTTAACCAATATGCAAATTAGCCTGCAGTACCACTGCTCTACCCATATGAGCAGCAAAAGACGTTTTTAGACCAAATATTACAGATTTGAACAAATACGCACAAAAACATCGAAATTAGCACAGAAACAGTACTATATAACATTTTAGACACATTCTAGACAGTTTATCAGCTAAAAAAAAGTTATTTTGGGGGTAAGTTACTCTTTAAGCCGAACTTCCTCATCACGGAGCACTCCTCCCCCCTCCCCAGACATGACTCCTGCAGGCTCTCGGCAGTAACAAAGCAAACAACGAGTGAAACTGAAAGTGAAACTGAAACTATCTGCTGAGCTCCTAACACTACTTCTCACTCAGTGAAGCTCTTTTCAGATTCAAAATACCTTTGAGGAAATGTATTTTCAGATGCCTAGTAAAGTGCATCATAGCGCAGACGCGACCCCCACCCCCCACCCCCGCACCGAAATGGGTCGGGACAGAAGCAGAAGGTGGTTCTTAAAGAGATAGAGGCCAATTTCAAGGCATTTTGAAGAGGAAGTGATGAGAAGATAATTTTATTTTCTATTTAAACATGAAAACAGCATTTTAATAACAACTAAAGGTGACATAGATACTTTATTATGGTATATGGTACTTAAATTATGCCTGAGAAACACATAATGTTGCCCCTTTAAGAAGTATACAAAAAAACCTGATTTTGTGCAAAAACGCCGTAATTACCCCCCGTTTCTTTCCAGGAAATCCATATACTATTTTAGGTTTATTCTTTAAAATGACATCAGTGTGGCGATGTCCTCTTCTCCATCTGCTTTTTGCTTGTAAATAAAAATAGTCCTGCTTCCCTGGTGTGAAGCAGCAGCGAGTGCTTGTATTTCAGGTGTTCCTCTTCAAAGGTGTCGCTGCACAGGTGCTCACCTGAGTTTGGATGGTAATTCTGACCTCGAAGCTTTCATTTCTAAATCTGAAGATTTTTATCTTTCGGGAAGAAGAAGAATGATCCTCCATTTGTTTTTTCTGGCCAGTTAATCTCAACTCAATGAATGTTGTTCTCATCCACTGAATAACTGTAGGGGCGTAAACCTTGTGACTCGACCTACGTCACGCTTCTTGAGTCGTCAGAAAATGTCAAAAACACCAGAGGAGCTTTATCAAAATTCAACTTTTAAATCTGAGTTGCTATGTATTAGAAAATGTCTTAACAAGCTCTATTAAGCTAATATTTATGACTTTCTTATCAGCTTAAAAACACTTTTCATTTCCCCTTTAAGGTATGAGTTGGGGAAGATGCTCAGCTAGCACCACATCAAATTTTAACTCTGCTAAACTGACTGCTAGGTTTATGTTGACTGACTGGAGTTGACTCCAACAGTTAAATCACACTTTTTGCTTCTGATGAAAGACTGTCAGATGGCGCAGTGCAACAACGCTGATCACAATCATGACCTGAAAGCTTAGTTACCATGGTTATCTAAAGCTCATTTCCTGACTGCAGAAATTCCTCTGACATAAAAAAAACTTAATATAGTTCACAGAAAAGCCCAAATAACACATAATTGACAAATAGGACTCAGACAGAGGCAGTGGATCTGTTAAATAGATGGTTTCTTTAATAAAAGAGACATTCTGTTGCAGCTCAAAGGATATTGCTTCAGGAGCTTACAGTACAGAGCCCAACTCGGCCAGTGAACAGCAGTCTTTTCACAAATCAGTCAGAACATCTACATTCAAATCTCTGAACAGAAACTAATGTTCACACAATCCATGATGGAGAGTATAGCACAGCTAGATGAGTGACACAAGCACCAGAAAACAGGAGAGAGGGACAGAGATAGGCTGAGCGGGACATGCAGCAGGAAGGGACTGAGAGTCCAGGAGTGGTTCAGGACTGGGGCGGGAAAAGCCAGAGATCATTGTTGGCCAAGTAGAGACTGAGATCTTTCCTCCATTATCACACCCGCCCACCTCACATTTTCTGCAGCTTCGTAAATCACAGCTGTCAGTTTGGAGCAAAGTAAAAATTTAATGTTCAGCTTCAGCCTAAATACAGCCGAGTTCTGAGGCTCTAACTTTGTTTAGTAACATCTAACACGTATTGATTAAATTACTGAGTATATAGAGAGGCAGGGAGGGGTGATTAGATAGGACAGTAATAGAGGTAAATGAGACAATGTAATAACTATGAGCACTGAGCAGAGTGTGTGTGTGTGTGTGTGCAGAGAGGAGGGATCAGGGTCTACTTGAACTGCTTGACGGGTGGGGGCACCTTGATGTCCTGGCCCCTCTCCAGCTTCTTCTCACACTCGATCAGGTAGTTGACACCATCAACCACCGTCTGCACCAACTGGACCTAAGAGTACACACACAAAGAAGTACAAAAAACAAAATAAGTTAACATTTCTCTAGAAAATACCCTCAAACATGCACGTCACGTTTAGTGCTGTAGTTTGTTCTTAAACAAAAACCTGATTATTAGGGGAGTTTGTTAAATTAGTGTTTAATGCAGACACTTTTTACTAAAACACATAACATTAAGTCAAGTCAAGGCTGCAGTCAGAGACAGTAGATAAAAAGAAATCAGCAACCCTGAACTATACTTCACTACGGAAATAAGAAAAATAGAGATTACACAAAATAAACAGATCCTTTCTACAAACTGTAACAATGTTTAGACTCTTACACTCGTGAAGGTGGAGCTACCTGGTGAGGTTCATAAAAACTAGATAAAAATAAACTGTTTTAGCTGCTTTCATTCAACCTTTTCTTAATGCGTTTATCTTTCCTCCTTATTCCTCAGCTTCCTGCCCCACCCTCTGACTGCTCCCCTGAGTAATGAATGACCCAGCAGCACCGATCAACCCACACACACTCAAACATTACCACTTATACAGTCATGCAATGTGATGCAACGAGACAACGGCATCCCATGTTTGCGATTTGGATCCTGCTGAAAGCTGCTCTGTTCACACACACAACTAAGAGCCTTCTCTGCTCTGCATGCAAACAATGTGTGCCAAAACATCGTGACAACAGAAAATTTGTCACAAGAATTGAGTGTCCTGATAAAGGACATCACAAGGACAGATTATACAAACAAGCTCACTTTTCCCACTTTTCCTTCACCTCTTCCAAAATCCTAGCTAAATATCTGCCCTCATTTCAGTGCGCATGCCTCACACGTTTTGACTAACACAAGCTGTGTTTCCATTGCAAATGTGCGCAAAACTTTGTCGATATTTTGTTCATGTCGAAAAAAAAAAACAGTTTCGCAATTGTGGTGTTTCCATTAAGGATTGCTATTAAAATCACACATAAATATGTTTGTTCTCACTATAAGTCATTACAAACATGGCGCCAACAGATGTAAACACATGCATGCTACCACGGCACTAGCGCTCATCATCAGCCATCAAAAGAGACGTCGCGTCTTATCGAGGCTTTCAAGCGACAAGCCCCTTATACATGGGAGCGGATACGTATGCTGCGTTTTTGGGAAATTGTATTAGGTGATTTTACTACTACTTCTACTTCATGTTGTCTTCTTTTTCGTCATCTTTTTCGCCAGTAGACAAAAGTGTTTCCATTGCAGTTTTGTGAAATACACTAATTTCAATACGGAAGATAAACCACCCTATCCTAGCGCAAAAACATTTAATCAAAAAAACGTTTTTTTTTTTTTCAAAATTGACGTGTTTCCTTTAAGCAAATTTATTTACGAAATTCTTATTTGTGCATTTTTATGGTCAATGGAAACGCAGCTACTGCCTCCCTTGGCATCTCAGAGGCATAACGGCAGAGGGTTGACTTTAACCCCAGGGCCACGTTAAAAAAACACTTCAAGACTGAAAAGTGCGACTCGGGCCCGACTTGAAGTATTTGTGAAAGGGGCTAAAGATGAACATTATATTGCTTCTGCAAAGCTGCGTTGCACAGATTTACCACAGAGCTGTGGTAAAAGGTAGAAAACCTTCTCATACCCATCATATTATTCAGCTCACATTTCTCTGCACTTCCATCTAGTTCGCCTACCTCAGACTGTCCCAGGCGGTCCAGGTTGGAGATGTCAAACGTTCCCCCCACAGCAGCAGTGTCCACACCACCGGTCCCTCGCTTCTGCAGACGCAGGTTATCCAGGATCTTACTGAAACGGGGATCCTGCAAGGTAAGCGGGTCATTTTAAACTGTGCCAACACTAAATACTCTGTCAGTAGATACTGATTTATCTAACAACCAAACTAATAAACTGAATCTCACAAACAAGTGAGTATGACTTTAAAAGTTGTTTGACATTATAAACTATTTAATTACTGAATGTGAAACTATGTCAAACAAATACTACGAAAAAATATACATTTACTTGTAATTGTAAAGTAGAAATACACAGCTTAAAAGATTTAGCTTTGAAGATTTAGAAGAGTTTAAATGGAGATTTCTCTTCTCTGCAGAAACTTACACAAGAGCCAGACTGAGACCGTAGCTTTTATTTGGCTTTAGCTCTGATTCAAATCGTTCTGTTACCTTGCTCAGCAGGGGCAGCTTAACATGGACTCCAGCCCTGAGTCCTGTCCCCAGGTTGGAGGGGCAGGTGAGGATGTAACCAAGCCTCTCGTTCCACATGAACTCCCAGCCTCTCTCCTGGATCAGACGCTCCACCTGAGAGGCAGATAATCACTTACAGTGAGCAGGGTTTCATATTGTCTTAAAGTTTACATACAATAACTGTTTATATTAATGTCTGTGAAGTGAACCCTACATGGAGAGGAAACAAATCAGAGCATATGTAGGAGGGACGTTAGTTCCTAGTTGTGCAACAGTCCAGATGTTGCTTTGCTTGTCCTTTGCTCTTTTCCTAGAGGGGAACTTGGACGGCTTAAACAAATAAGTTCTGCTCACATGACTAGGTTCAGTCTGTTTGTTCTGCATATCTTTCAAAGAGTTTAACTTTAAAGGTGGACAAATTTTACAGTAATAAGTTTTTTTTTTACTTTTATACTAGTTTCCTCCCTTCTGTGGTTTTATTGTACCTATAAAGCCACCTAAATCCATCCCCCCCCAGTTATTAGCACAAAATCCACTTTCTTTATTAAATCTTGTGCACCAGGTTGTTTGACAGTAACTCCTTCTACTCAAATATTACATAATACAAAAGCTTGAGCTCTTTTTCACCCACAGTTTTTTCTGGAAATTCTAAACTTTGTTAGCGCTGCACCGATTATTTAACATAATCGATTATGATGATTATAAAAAATCGTCGACAAGGAATTTTATAATATTCATTTGTATCTGCAGTGCAATACACAAACAGCTGGGGGCAGAATCGCTTCTGTTGTCCATGGTTGCTTTGTTTACTACTGAAGAAGAGGTGCTGGTCTGTAAACCACAGAAGACAACACAGAGGACACATCAAAGAGTGATAGAAATGGTGGAACGGAAAGACAGTAACTTCTTTCACGACTTTCCAAAGCTGGCTGCATTTTGAAAAAAAATCTACCAAAAAAATGTAAAATGCTGACTCGGTCATTCCATGGCAGGACAGCAGCAGTGAAAACATCATGTTCACCTGAACCGCTAACATGCTGGAGCCGTGATTCTGTCCTCTGCAGGTGGTTGATAATTCATAAATCTTATTTTCAGTGACTGATCACTTCGTGCTGTAGCCAACTGTCCATAAGTTGTGTTAGTCTACCATCAGAAGTGTGTGTTCTGGAAGAGGGGGCGATCAGTTATGCTAACGTTAGATAAAGCATGCTTCATATTAAATTACTGGGTTGGGGGTTAAAGTTTTATTTGAACCCTGCCAGATCCAACAAGATTCCAAACACGATGAATTATTTTTTTACTTTTATGCACTTGAATGTCACAAAGTTATTCTTTAGTTTATTTTGGACTTTTATTTTGGAGAGGCTGCTATTTTGAGTTGTTATGCTTAAGTTTTATGGGTCATATAATTTTCTATGTGAGCTTGTTATGTTAAGGTAGACAGACTGGATAACAGGGTGACATTCTCAGGTGAAATGAGACATATAGAGCTGGAACAGATGCACCCACAGGAAGCATCCATGGACATTGTGACAGAAATGAGTTTCTAATCAACTAATCGATTAATTGAAAAAAATAATCAACTATCAAAATAACTGTTAGGTGCAGCCCTAACCTTTAGTGATATATTCTCACAAAACAGCTGTACCTCCTTCAGGCCTCTGCAGAACCTATCGAAGACTCTCTTCATGTTGCCTCCCTTCTCCATGGAGATAACTCTGGTGTGATCCTCCTCATTGATCCAAATCAAAAAGGTCTTCTCATTGTTGTGCCTGAGCAAAACAAAGATATTTAGTTCAGAGGGTTGACTCGGTTCCACAGTTGTGCTCTGATCGTTATTCAGGAGCAGAGCAGATAAAAAAGCATTAATTCTGATAAATAAAAAAACTCTAAAGTTACACAGAAAAATATCCCTTTTTTACTTCCAAACCTTTTATTTCTAATAAATACACCAGTGCTCCTCTCTGATATATGAGTCTAAAAGATGACCTAATAAACTAAAAATTTTGTTAAAAACAAAAAGTGAAACCTGTAGGGTGTCAATTTAAGAACCAGAGTTTGGTAGCAAAAAAAAAAAAGTTCAAATGATACAAAAAATTATTTGTTCTTATTTACATTTTTCCTATTTATATGAATTTAGGGATACATATAAACAACTATTGGTCCTGGACATTAGCGCTGAAATTAAAAACTATAAAGATATGAACACTGGTAGCAAGATAGATCAGGTGAATGGAGCTGTAACCAGGATATAAACTTAAAACTGTTACTATGACTAATCAAACATCCATAATTAAACCTCATAACGTGTCTACAAACATTCTCAGCTATGCTTCATCTGGATGATGAATCATCTGACATGTAGGCAACATGCATCACATTTTAAAGCAAACAAAACACTTAAAGAACTTTGACCTCGTTCTTTTTGTTTGACATAAATGGAGGGAGGAGTCTAAAGAAAATACTGTATTAGCCTACAAACAAGAGAATAAGATACTGTTTTAAAAAGCAAAATAGAAAAAAGGAGTGGAACTTCAGAAGAGTAGAAAAGATGAGAGGAAAAAAGGCAATGAGTACACTAGAAAAAAAATGATGGGTGGGAGTGAATGTAACATATTAAGAGGTGGAAAACTGTTTTATACGGCTGGCTGAGGAAACAAGGGAGGGTTACTCCTGTGTACGTGCTGAAACGCAGTGCTGAGGAAGCATTACTGCTCAGCCAGTGAATGTGTTTTTACCACAGCTCTACAGTGAAATGACCCAGCTTGTGCAATACTCATAGATAATAATAATAATAATCTAAGAAAGGTTATTTCTTCAGTTTAGATTTTTTCCTATGTGAAAAATGTGAAACTACATGTTACACCACAGATAACTCTTATTTTTTCCTTAATATTACAAAACAAAACATTCTTCTATTGTAAATTAGCTAAACTGTCATTTTTCAACACCAAACTTCTAGCATTTCTTCCTTGATAACAACATGACAGTGGAGGTTAAAATAACACAAGTAAAATCAGATAAATTCACTTATCTGGCAACAAAATGATGAAAAAAAAGTTAGTCTTTGGATCTAACAGTTGAAAATAAAATGGAAGCTAAAGACTAAGCTAAAATTTATATGCAAACACTTTTTTTAACATTTGGAGATTTTCCTTTAATGCTTTTGAACTAAAACCATGTAGCTGTTCCCAAAAAGCTCTGACATTACATAAATAACACTACAAGTAAGGTTTACCAATGGGTTTAATATCTGCTCAATATCTTCTTACCAAATACCACGAGCATCTGGCCAGTCACGAGCCATGCCTGCACACGTCAGGAGGGGAGACACGGGCTTGTCAAATAAGAAGTGGTCCTAATAAATACACAAAGAAGTGATGTTTATACACAAAATGAAGCAGACACATGGATGGTTTTTATTAGGGAGACTAAATGTGATCAAGACCTGACAAGTAAGTTTAAATGTAAAATAACTTACAGTTCCACAGACAAACACATTCGGTACATAAACACACATATTTCACATAAATGGTTGTAAATTAAGTTTAATGTTTTAAGTTAAAGTTTAGCAAGTGTTTAGCACAACAAGTTGGTGTAAGGTTTGTGCAGCACTCACATCGATGAGCTGCTGCTGCTCCTTCTCTGTCATCTGGGTGAGACTGTAGTATTTCCCAGTCAGGTCGCCCTTCAGGCCCGCGAGGGCGTCCACCACCACTCTTTCCACTTCCCTGCGCTCTGCCCTGGTGCAGGCAGGGGGAAGGCTCAGCCCCCGGATACTGCGACCTGTCCTCACCCTGGACGACAGCACGTAACGTTCATCGAACTGGCCTGACTGAAGCTAAAATGAAAAAAATAAAATAAAATAAAATAAATAAATGTGAAATCATCTGGCAGCTGAGAAAATTGCACCCAAAGATAAATGACATCACACGTACAGAATATTTACTTGCAATTTGAAAGCATGACTCTGTAATTTTACACTTGTCTTTTAGTCAAAGGTCTGCACTCACTGTGCATTAAAGGGGACCTTTTACGCAAAATTCACTTTTTAAAGGTTTTTTTTTTACTCAACTTTGGGTATGTATTTCTTATAAAAACAGTCCTAGGACCAAAAAATGCACCCAGGGGCATATTTACTGTAAGTAAATGTATTTTTAATGTATATTAACGACAAGTTTTATACTTCCGTCATTTTGTGATGTCACAAGCCGTACGACAACCCACCAGAACCTGCATTCAGCCCCTCACCTAGCAACCCCTGGGTGAAGCTCCACCTCCTCAGTATGAAAAGCCGCACGGTTGTTGTTGTGTAATGCACAGCTCACTTCTCAACAAGCCTCCAATAGGGCAATGGGTAGAGTATTGGACCAGAGAGTGGGAGACCAGGGTTCGAAACCAGCACGGACACAATTTAATTATTTATTTGCATTCGTTATGAACACATTTTCTCATGTATTGCTATGGTTTAGCTTATTAAAGCCTTGTTAAAGCCTATTTGTTCGAGTTTCTGAGGTATTTTGACCGCTGCTGCTCCCTGCTTGGTAACAGCATGCAGAGTGAGCGCAGAGCAGAGGAGGGGGAGAAAAAAGAAGCTGCGACCGACTCTGCCTCACGGAGCTTCTGCTATTATTAGCCATGCTAACATAAAGGCTGGCTTTGGAGGGTGGAGTTAATGCCAACAGATTTTTGGAGGGCGTTACCAACAGAGCTCATTAACATAAACAGCTCTTCTGAACAGAAGTCAGAGCAGGCAGAACTAGAAAATGAGATATTTTATTATCTGAGAATTATTTGGTGCATTAAATTGAATGAACATGGTCTGGATAGCCCACAGACATTCCAAAAAAATTTCTAGGATCCATAATTGGTCTCCTTTAACACAACGCCAAGACTGTAATAACCTTAGAGAAGTGACTAATGCATTCCATCAAAATAGGAAGATTGTCAAAATGCCAGTAAACAACTTCTTATTATTAGAGTGCATCATCCATTATTTTATCGTATTTAACTAAAAGACTTCTGAAACAATGTTTTTAAAACAAGAATCATTAAAGTCAAAAAGCATATCAGCAAAAAAAAAAAAAAAAACACACCACACAAACAACCAAAACAAACAACAATAAACTGAATTAATTCATTATTTAAAAACACAAACATAAAACCTCATTTCAACTGTCAAGCACAGTGGTGGAGGGGTGATGATCTGGATGACATGGAAGCTTTGCAGTCACTGAGTCCACAATGAACTCCTTTGTTTACCAAAGGATTTTAGAGCCAAATGTGAGGACATCTGCTGAACAGCTAAAGCTTGATAAAAACTGGGTCAAGCACCAAGACAATGATCCCATAACAGCAACGCAGAACGGCTAACACAGAAAAAACTGCAAATTTGCTTTTTGCTCCTATTTGACAAAGATTGTCAAAATGTCAGCAATTAAAAAAAGAAACAAGAAAAAAGTGGAATCATATAATGAAATTCACACTGCCTCTTTGAATCCCTTCCAGTTAACTGTAAACAGGCTTCAGTCGTTGCTGCTCTAGAATAACTCAAAATGTACATTCAGTCTAATAGATTAAAAACACAAGACTACAAAGATTGTTAAAAGGAATTACACCAGCTCTGAAAACCTCTAGTTATTTTAGACTCGTCGTACCTTGCTGGAGTCCAGGTCAGTGGGATGTTTCATTGTGTGAGGGTCGTAGCCATTGTGTCTCTCTTTGATGACAGGATCCAACAGCTCTGCAAATACCTAAACACAGAAAAACTTGGGCGTCAAAAGATCTTAATGTGTGTATTTTTAAAATATAAACACAGCTTTCATGGAGTATCAGGCCCAATCATCAATAAAGAGCCATTTGGTAAGTTGTATGGGTATTGTACAGTTGTATTTCAGGTTATTTTCCTTTATTTAAAGGAAAATAACCTGGTGAATGGTTTCTTTATAATTTCATTTTAGTTCTTCTGAACCCAAGTTAATTTTAGATTTCAGAGAAGAAATATACGCTGACCTCTACACAAAGTCAGAGATATTTCTGTAGTCCAATAACAAATTAGGTACAAAAAAGAAAATGTAATTAGACCCTATTAATAATTTGCTAATCTGACATCCCAAAAGAAGTGTGTTCCAACTTCAGACTCTCCTACAACTCTGACCTCTTCCTTTGAAATAGACAGCTAGAATGACAGATTGTATTTTGAACATCATATATCATTCTAAAAATTAACAAAAACTAAAAACATTCAACAGTGTGCAGCCAACAATAGGTTTTACTTCATAACTGCACTAAAATGGTGCAAAACCTCACCGTGTATCATAACTCTGTTCTATATGTTCTGTAAATATTAATGCTCCAAATTTTTATCTGTATTTTGACTATGTCCTGTTGTGTCTGTCTACTATACAGCACTTTGGTTGGCCTTGTGCTGTTTAAAGTGCTTTATAAATAAAAGTGGTGTGGTAAAATGCTGAATACTGTGTATAGTAAAAAAAGGACAAGCAGTTAAGTCAAAAATGTTTCCTTAGTACAACTTCAGCTTTTAAAATGACACAAAGAAAAACCAGAACCTGTAAAGACACACGTAGGTCAGCTGAACAGTTTTTTTCTCTTGGCTTTCCCCTTTAGACACAAACCTGCAGCTGCTTGTCCTGACAGACTTTATTTATGTCGACTAGATAAACAAAAAGTAAAAGGAACACATCGAGACTGAGTCATTTTCTCCAAGTATCTAAGAGGAAATGAAGCTGTTTCAACCATAAACATTTCTACACATTTTCCTTTTTGAAACTCCAACCTTTTCCAGACTCATGCGTTCTATCAGTTTTTGTCACTTTTTGTTTTTTAAACGCAGAAGCATCTTTAAACTTGCTGTGAGTGTTTATACAGTGGTGTTTTATTTTCTGAATGCTTTAAAATCATAAAAAAAATGCATAAAAGATGGACAGCAGAGGAAAACAAACTCAAAACCAAACAAACAATTAAAAAATGTACTTTAGTAAAATAAAACCTGTGTATGTATTTGAGCTGGGCCACCTTCTGAATGATAAGTTGCACACTGTATCAGTAACACGTGGTTAATGATCTGCAGTTATACAACAGTAACGCTGTCATGTCTAAAGACACGTCAACATACAGATGGACTCTGGACTGCAGATCTCGTCATCAATTTTATTTTTATCACCTGTGGTACAGTCACGTGTGAAACCAAGCTGTAAGAGTCTGCCTGCAAAGGTTCGCAGTCAGAAGTTCATGAAACAAAAGGGCCTGTCGTAAATCATCGAGCCTGGATGCTTCTTCCATCTTTCTTTCTCTGTGAGTTTTTATTGTGAAGGAGGAACCAGGGGTGTTGAAGTTAACTCTCTGCTGTTACACTTCTGAACCGCCAAGCAAGGAAGTGACAAAGCTGTATTGGTTAATACATAAAAGTGTATGACTGTGTGTGTAGCACTCCACAGCAGCGCTGCTTTTTCCGTGCCCTCATTAGTCGTACGCTGCTGGCTTCATTTATGAAATCAGCTAGCAGCAGCTTCAACAGGAAACTCCATTTTTATGGCTATATCGTAGAACTGTTTTTTTTTAACTTTTGAGGATTTTTAATATTTATTCATCCATTTATTCATTTCATTAAAACAAAACAAAAAAATATACAATAAAAAAGAAAAATATATAAAAAAGAAAAACTAGAAAAGCATTATATGCGTATCAAAATCACAAATGAAATGAAAGGTAGCAGAGAGAAGAAAAAAATCTTATAATATCTGCTCCTTTTCTCCCAAGAATACGTTCATACGACAAAAAATCTGTATCATTAACAAAACAAAAGACAAGAACATCTAATCCCTCTAGAATAACAGTTAATATAGGTGCATTTTATACTGTTTCATTCATTATTAGTGCTAAAACCTAAAACTCAAGGCATGATGGATAAAACAAAAGTAAACATCACAATGACAACATCCATCTATTATTTACAATCAATATAAAAAAATCAGCTTGTTTGAGCTTTCGTTTATTACATTTTTTGAAGACGTTTTGAATTTATGGTTTTGTTTATTGGAAAAAGAAATAAAATAGAAACCAACCTTTCTCTATACTCTACTTTCCTTCTCGCCCCCTTAAACTTTTCCACAACTGGAAGATACTAAAACCCACCGTTTTCAAGTCTGCTTAAAAATTCTGTTGTGTTCTGAGCATGCTGACTCTGAAGTTTTCATTTTCAAACCAACAAATCAAAAATAACTTAACATTTTGTGTCTCAGCGGGACACTCTAGTGAATATTTCTTCCTGAAGCAAACTCTTGAAATCTGTTATAACGTGAATTTAATTATGTGCACAAGCCTATCTGCTGGTATAATTCTATCTAGGTAATTTTATGAAAACACAAAGCATCAAGAACACAAACTGTGCCATCTTAACAGAATCTGGTGACACTTAAAATGGGTCTTTGATTATGTTGCCTTTCCCTTATTTGTCAGCGCTAAACGCAAAACTAAAAGAAAAGAAAAGTGAGAAAAACTGCTGAGAAAAACTCAGCAGTGGGAGTTCTGCACATCTGAAAAGACGCAACCATGTCTGACCTCATAGGACTCCTCATCTCCTGCCACCATGCCAACAGTCTTGATGAAGGGGTGCCCAGGGTTGTCCACGCCCGTCTGAATGGCCTGGTCCAATGTGTAACCGTTGGGAGTGGTCCTATCGCACAGTTTGGCGTAGATGGCAGGTGTCAGGTTACTGGCCATGCAGTTGTTGTGTTTGCGCAGGTCAGGGTACTCCGCACTGCAAAGAGAAATAAAAAAAGGAGATAAAATGAGTCTGTATTGATTTTTCGGAGAGGTTTTTTTTTTTTTTTTTTAGAAGTGTTGGCAGAAAATAACACCAGCGCTGTGTTTTCAAGGAGATTCAGAATGAGTGAGTCAGTGCAGGAACCCTCACCCTTCAACAGACAGAGGTAACAGATATTTAAGCCTGTGGCCTTCAACCACACCCTGTTGCAAACAAATCCATTTTCTCTGGACAAGGCTGTTCCACAGCAGCCAAGACTAACTACTGAGTTTATTCTGAGTTTAAATCTATGCAAGACACAAAAAGAGCAAGCTATGCTATGCTTACTATAAAACTGTGCCAATTTGATGACAGTAAATGATCAAAATGGGTGAGGAGAACATCTGGTGATCCATGGTAGAAAAATAGTGCAACAGGCTAATTATTGTTCATAATCTATTGTCTTAAGGCACAGAATTGAACAAGGTTTTCTATGGCCTCATAAAGTTACATAAAGTAACACATTTTCATCCAGTTTGTCAGGAAATAAGACAAAGACATATAATATTTCTGTCCCTTAGCGACGTCACAAAACGTTATCTACTTTCCAGATACACAATGGATTTGCAAAAAGAATATGTTCAACCTCATTTCCTCCATTTTGTCAGGATAAAATGTCAGGGTTTTTAGTAAGTGCAACATATCTGTACCAAATAGTAAAATTAAATAAAATTAAATAGGACCAATCACATTTATTTAAGCAAAAATGTGACTTATGTGCTAAACCCAAGTTGACAGTTTATAGAGCCCCTAAGCATAAACGCAGGTTTCTTGGTGTATGGCCCTATAAATCTGTCCCATTTAGCCACATGGACTTTAGCCCGGTGTGTACAGCAGAAGCCATTCAGGCAGGGTGCATCCTGCTGGTCTACAGCAATCATTAAATCATTCAACAGATCCACAATCAGATTAAAAGTCGGGTTTCAGCTGGCTCACTCCAAAACATTTAAATGCCTCCTGTGTTACTTTGGCAGTTAGCTCAGGGTACTTACAAACTGTAATGCAACAAAAATTAAAAAGGTATTTGAGGTGAATGCTTTTGCAGGGCACTGTAAAGATCCTGATCTTGCGTAAATCCAGATAAAAATCTATTATGTTTGGTCAATAGGCTTAAACTGTCTGCACGTGGAATTGGACTTGCTTTCCTTGGCTGTTAATCAATGAAACAAGTGTTTGTTGATGACTGACACCAGACTTTCACTACTGAGGTCTTGATTTGAAAACTTTTGTTAGATAATTTAGTTGACAGAAAAGGCTGGAGGGCAAAAAAGGCTGCGGTCGGTAACTTGAAAAAAACACCACGTTACAACATTTTTAAGTTGAGTTGGGAAAACAAAAATGGCCACTGAAGACTGAAGCCTCTGTGCTGAAAAATCTGCATTTGAGGGGACTCATAATTCTCAAGAAAATGTCTTAAAGAAGGATCAAGTTGAGGCAAAGACACGACAGCAAAAAATGTTAGCGTGTAGCATTTGACAGGTTTGCACTTCCTCTAGTGCGACTGCTTGGATTAAGCCTGCAGGGTCTGATTTCAAAGCAGCAGATAATGTTTCACTAATCTGCATACAGTAAAGCTGTTTTATTGAGCAATGCATGTGTGTCACCGGGCACGTACGCATCCATCCTCTGCCCCTCATGATCTTTTAATCACAGCATACAGTATTTATGTGTTAGTGTAACCAGGATATCCCATTTACGTGCATGTTTTCACAACATTTCACTTAATCTTGTTAAGTCTGGACAAGCAAAGGAGTATTTATTTTGTTATAAGTAGCTTTTTTTTTTGTTCCGACTGAACAATCACAGCAAATTAAGATCTGAAGTAATAATTACATTTTACTTCACAGGTTTTTCAGTTGTCACACGTATATTAGGCTTGTGCATCTTATAAACCAGGGGTTCTCAATCCATTTGGGTCTGGGGACCCCCCCTCATAAACCCCCCCTGCTGTTTTAAAAGATAATTTACTGTCATTTCAACCCCTAAATGCCATGAGAATACATATTTTTAATTAAGCTTATGTTTGTTTTATTTGTTAATTGTTCTCCATGCATTTTTAAAAATAAAAGTCAAATTAACAATTTAGTGAATTTTTTTGAGAACCCCCAAGATACCTTTGGCGGACCCCATGAGGGTCCTGGGACCCTAGTATGAGAACCTCTGTTATAAACAATCCTTTTTAAAAAAAAAAGCCTTAATTGTGGTGAGAATACTTGTATATTTTACACTGTTACACAGTACTTGAGTACAAGGATAAAATGCTTGGATTTATGAATAACCTGTTCTCAGAGCTGACTGTTGATGTATGGAGTCACCCTGCATAGGTTTTAAAACGCCATTTTGATTGCTATACGCATGAATGCGTAATATAATAATACTAATAATAATATTCAATAGACTCCGACTAATAATAATAAGAATAATAATAAGAGCAGGGCCTTGTGCCTGATCAGCAGGTTCAATAATCTCACGTCTGCTGATTAGTTAGATTATCAGCGCCGTGTAATCACATAATGTTATATGCAGCTCATTACTTAAAAACAGGATCATTTAAATGCCTACATTTTTTAAACTAAGAAATCTGTTCTTATGTTACGTGCTCACAGCACTTTTCTTCTGGTATATGACCTTTTTTTTTTTTTTTTAATAAAATGAAGTCAAAACCCCTCGTTAAGCAGAAAATTAAATGTGTTCAGAAAGCCTTGTAGCGGACGGACAAGGAGAACCTTACCTGGCGGGGTACCTCCTGCGGAGAGGCTCTCCGGCGCTGGCATGTTCCCGGTGCAGCAGAAACCCCGCCGCTACGGAGCCTCCGACCAACGACAAGATGCCGACGTGCCGCTTGGAGGAGAGGACTCTTGTGAAGCTGCTGGCCATTATTTATTATTATTATTTAAAAAGAAAAGGTGTTCCTTCTACGGCCGAACAGAGGGAGGAATGGACAGGATGATGGGAGTGAAGGTGACGAAGCGCCTCTGATGGAATTATAAGAGAAGCGGTTGAAGAAGGCTCATCAAGGCGGACGGAGAGAGGAAGGACAAGACCGGAAGCTTAAATCTCGTTTCAAAATAAAAGCAACGATTTTTAAAATCCAATTACCGGTAGTTATATTTATTTTTAAAGGGTGATAGTTTAGTTTCATGGGCAAATATCTTCCTTACTGCAGGTGTAGGCCAATGGTTAAATACTTTTAAATTTTTGAATAAAGAATCAAATTGAAAATATATTGTTTTAGATACACGTGCAGTAAAATATCAACTTTTTATAAAAAAAAATAGGTAAACTTGAACAAAGTGCATAGAAACCGTGTTGTTCATTGTTTGTACAAAACAGTGGACTAAATTACAGAAAATGGGTTTAAAAAATCTGTATCTAAAATATTATAATTTGTTTTTAGAGTTGTGAAAGAAATTACTCTCTGGAAATAACCAAAGAAATAATCTGACCCTCTACCTCACAAACCTTTTGAAATTCATAAACTCATTGTATATTTTCAATCAGTGTCTGTTTAATCCAACATCTTGTGGTGAAAGAAAAGTGGGCAAAACTAATTTTAAACTTAAGATAAAAACATTATTAGCCCTGCGTGATCATAATACACTATAAAATTGCAGTACTAAATGTAAAAAGATATGTTACATATTTATAGTTTAGAATCCTGTCTTTTTAAAGAAAAACCTACAGGAATGGAGCCCAAACCTGGACCTCAAGGGCCACTATCCTGCATGTTTTAGTTGTTTCCCTGCTCTCCAGAATCTGCAGAGAAAAATGTAAATCACTTGTTCATTCAAATCAGCTGGGTCAAAACAAAGAGACATCTAAACATGCAAGTTAGTGGCCCTGAAGTGTAGGTTCACAACAGAAAACAGGGTAAAACTGAAAGCTATTTAGTTAAACTCTAATATGTATTTTTAGTTTTACTACCGCATTATATAAAAATAAAATGCTGACAGGAAGTGGTTGAACTTGTTTCAGCTACCTTGACAGTGGTGGAAAGGTGCGTGATGAGAATACTTAATGACATCCGTAAATATGGCTGCAGAAATAAAGGTTTCACATTACACTGAGCCAGACCACAGAATTCAAACAAAATGCAATAATCCTGTACATTTGAGACAGATCAGGACAAAGAAACGTCCTTTCTCTCTCTCTCTTTGTCTGCATTAGGACCACAAGGTTAATAAAGTCATTCATACCATAAAGCCTGCAGCAACTTCCTCGTTGCGTCACACCTGATTAAAGGAATATTAACGTCAGTCTCTTTGTCAACTTCCACGTGGCTATTAAGTACTGCTGACAGGAACATGGAGTCACATTGTTCATGACCTCCTAATAACCTTCAGCTCTGACAGCATCTTTCAGTCCTGGACCCAGTTCCAAAACACGATTTACTCTTCAACATTACAAAAAGATAAAACAGCAAACTCATCTCATCTGACATATTTCTTAAAGTTATTTTTGTCCATAAAAAATAATTTAAGATAATCATAAAATCTTACAACTGAATACTTAAGTCTTGTTTATAACTCCACAGCCAAGTGATCTTAAAAAGACAAAAAAAAAAAAAAAAAGTCTCCAAGTCAGTACATTTTACACACATGGAGTTAAAATTTGTGTGGTAGTACCTGGGAGTTATACCAAATCCATACTCCCAACAGCTACACTTTGTGCAAGATCTCGGTTTTTAACTTTAAGTGTAGGTGCTAACCTGCTCCGAGTTATTCCCAACACATTCTGGACACATCTCACAAGATTGTGCATTGTTGTTTGCAATCAGCTCCAACACCATTATTTCTGAAGATGATCAGTCTGAAACTTTAGCATGAAAGGTGGCGAGCGATTAGCATTCCTTTAAGAAACGCTAGGTCTTTAATTATTTTTATGAATTGGCTTTTAAATAAAATGTTTGTCTTTGAGTGATCCTAAAACACAAGGTGTAGTATTTACCAGTTCACCCTCACTATTTGGGTTTACCAGATCTGAGTGTCCGCTGCAATCTGATCCAACTCACCAGCAGGTTGTGATCAGTTCACAGCTCTGCCGCTCTGACAGAAGAAAAATGGTGTGTGGTGTTATCCGACTTCACTGCCGACCTTTGAAAAGGCAGGTGAATAAATGGAACAAGTGGTCCAGCTCCTGATACTTGGCAGCAGATAAACTCACTAAACTCACTCTCATGAATGACTGCAAATCTGTAAAGTACAGTTGTGGCTCTGATTTTAATTAAGACAAAATATATGTATTTATTTACAAAATGTTTGATAACATAGAACATATTTATGAAAAAATTAAATTTTATCCAAAACACATTTATAAAAGTAGTCTAATAAATAAAAATGCTTATATGATCGAAATAGCCAACTTGATTGTAAAAAAAAAAAAAAAAATCTCTTAAAAATATTGCAATGTTTTCACATGTTTAAGTTTTAAACAGACCAGAACAGAAATCACAGGTCTTCAGAATGATAAAATAATTAAATCAAATTTTAACATCCTTGAAATCAGTTTTAAACCAATCTACTTTGAGTTTTATAAAATCCCGGATCGCCAAAAACAAACCATGAAAAACAACAATTAAAGAAACAGATCAAAGGGACAATTATTTAACAATAAAACCTTTCAGTCAATGCCTGAAAGCTATCTTTCACAACTGAAGGTTCCTATTTTCACAGTTCAAAACATGAATGGTCTTTAGCTTTGCCTGCCTGCTGGTTTAATTCAGCTCAGTGCAGCAGTCTCTTCCTGCTGTAGGTCTTCCCCATGTTGGAGCGTCTGACTGGCTGACCGAAAGGCTCCAGTTCATCTGCTTCTGTTCTCCCTGTTGCAGCTCCATCTAAAACGTTCGGAAAGTGAAAACAATTAGTTGACTCACAAGAAAGTGTTTGTAATATATGTTTTTAACCATCTAGTTTATTTAATTTAGGTTGAAGCTGTGTAACAAACAGAGGTGGTCAAGCATCACCACCTGCCCACCAGAAGGGTCGTGCCCTTTAGTTTGAGAACCACTGATCTACACTCATACAGTATTATCTCGTGACACAACCTTTGTTCTGTTCTTGGAGCTCCTTGAAACTCAAAGAGGCTGTGTGGTCATCAGGAAATACTTCCTTTCGACATTTTGTCTGCAGCTACCAACTTTCAGTAATATTTTGTGCTGTGAAATAAACTGACCACTTGTCAAGGCCTTGCTGCATGTAGCATCAAAAGTGGCTGCACATTTCTGGTATGAGTAACTTACCTGAGTAACTGTAAAAAAGCAATTCCAAATCAGTGACTGTATTATTTTCAGACAATTTATTTTATAGTTGTACATGCTGAACAAAATCAATAGGATTGCTTGGTTCTCACCACAAAGTTTTGACATTTTGCTGAACTAGATATGCAGCATTTTTCTAAACACTATCACACATTTTCTTCTTACCTTTAAAGTTTGGCGTTCTCTTTTGAGCAGAACTCGTTTTTCCTTTAAACAGCAATGGAGACTGAGTGAGAGCGAAAATTCCACTAGCAGTCACTGGTTTTCTCTCCTTTAAACTGGGAGGGGTCACAACTGCTAAACACAAAATACAGAAAAAAGCTTTACTCTAAAAATCAGCTTTGACTCTGTTGTAGAAAAAATGTGCTCATTTACTAAACCCTCAACATAAGCAAAGAGTAAACAAAAATGTAGGAACTAATTTACTTCATAACTCTAGACTGTCACCGAATGTGTTGCTTACTTGATCTGACATCTCCAATTTTAGAGATCCATGTGACTTCATCTGCTCTCTGAGGATCCACACAGCTGTTCTGTTCAGCCAGCTTTTTCACCCAAAACAAATCCTCCAGTGGAGAGACAGGAGACACATTTGTTGCAGCTGTTGTGGGTAAAGGTTTGGAAGTCAAAGCAAACTTTTCTGCTTTGCTACTCAAAGGTTCATCAATGTCCTCAAAGTCCTGCAACCTGCTAACTCCAAGCTCAGCCTCCTCCAGCAACTCCTCCAGCAGCGGCTCGCCCTTCAAACCTCGATCTTTGCCTCCAAACACTCCAAAGCGAGCTCTCTTCCTGCGAGGCCAGCCGTTGAGGTTTTCTGGGGTTCCTTTCCCCACACTTTGAGGCGAGGGCGTAAGGGGGATGACGTCTGCAACAGCCACTGGAGACATCGTCGCGGCAGGATGATGCGTAGGTGTGTACGAGTGGCAGATGTAAGTTTGGATACTACCACCTTTCCCAGGTGTGCTCTTGGCTGGGGTGACGTGAGCACAGAGAGATGGAGAGTAACCAGCAGGATCCCTGTGCTTAGACAACAAAGACCCTGGACTTCCCACGTGAGATTTCGCACCCACTGAAGGGCTCTGAGCTCCCGACTGAGGACCTCCATCCGAAGCAGAGTCGTCCGCAGTCCCGGAATCTTGGCGTTTAATTTTGAGCTTAGGAAGACCCGATGTCTGCATTTCCAATTCAGCTTGGTACGTAGGAGTATTAGGTTTTTTCTGTCGTTTAGATTTTGCTGGACCTCTAGGAGTCGAAAATCTAGGGAAATCGTTTTCATATCCCAAACGAGCAGCAGCCTCTCTCTGTTGGCGGTCAGGAGTTTGTCGAAAGCCGTAACTCCGACTAGGTGAGCTTTGTGAGGGTAAATGTTGGTTTGAAGAACCATCTTCCCCGGACATGGATGGTTTTCTTGAGAAGCAAATGTTCATTTTAAGGCCTTTATTAAACTGGGTCTTTACAACTATAGCATCAATGATATCTATGCTATCATCCGTGGTGGCAGAATTAGCATGAGAAGAGTCAGACTCCTGTGATGTTGTATGGAGACTAGAATTAGTTTCAGAGGGTTGAGAGCTTTCCAGCTGCTCCCCCTTATCAAGTGAAAGCACAGTCTTCACCACATGATTGTCAGTAGATACTGAGGGTTTTTCAGAGGCAAAACTCTCACCACACTGTAGGTTTAGGTTAGGTCTTTTTGTTCTACCATCTTGACCTGACCGTCTTTTTGTTAAGACCTTTGCAGGAGACTTAACTAATGAATCAGATTCCTCAGAAAATTTAGTGAATCTTATTTTTGAGACTGCCAGATCACACGGGGAGGCAGTCGATGGACTTCTCCCTGGGGTACGCCCAGAGCGAGTGGCCATCTGGTGAGTAGGACTAGGGGTCCTCTCTTGAGTTCTGCAGCTGAGCTGAGGTGAGCTCTGTTGGTCTGCAGAAGGTGTGGATAGAGGAGGAGAATCACTCTTTTCTGGAGTTTCATTCCTGTTACTTTTTTCAGATGTCAGGTTTTTTTCTTGACTCAAAACGACCTGTTCAGATAGTCGTACCAGTTTCACTTGACAGATCTTTTCTGGAGTCTTAAAAATGTCTCTTTTAGTGTTTGTGGCATGAATAGAACTTTCAGGCGTACTGGGGCTTTTGTTCCATCTTGGAGAAGTGACAGATGTAGCATTTGGTGACTTAGGCACTTTAAAAGTAGCACTATTCTCGACAACTCTACATTTTTGAGGAGAGGGGGACCATGTGACACTCTTTTTGGGAGTTCTTGAAAGTGGGCTGCTAAATAAATGTAAACCAGAGGAGGCTTTCACAGGAGTCTTAAGAATACTCTTTAAAGGGCTTCTAATGGGACTTTGCTTAGTAGGTGTTTCTACAACAAGAAGCTCTCCAGCTGAAGGTCTGTAAGGACTCTTAGGTTCAGAGCAGCCCACTACAGGACTCTCTGTGACAGAAGACACAAGCATCCTGGATGTTGGTGGGGTTTTAGAGGTCACTGGAGTCTGAGGTGTCCTAAGTATCATCGGAGACAAATTTCCAGTGACGGCCCTGCCATGCTTCCTGGGTGACTTTGTTGGCGTTTTGTTTGGACTCTAAAAAGCAAACAGAAACATTTAATTTTAGACACACAGTTGGGAGTTTTAGCTTAATTTCTGCTTGAAAAAAAAAAACACTTAAAAAGCTCCATCCTGGAGATCATTTGTCATCTGGTTAAAGACTGATTTTCCAAATGTTTCGAAGAACCACGTTTATTAAACACACATTCTTATGCTATTAATTTCTTTCATATACTGCTTTAAAAGAACATGTCTTAAACAAATAAATACATTATCTGATTTTGACATTAACACCTAATATATATATATATATGCCAATAAAGTTTCGTACAAATAAACAGTTTGATTTTCAGAGAACTATTACAAAACTGAATTAACCATCTACCTCATCTTTATTCGTATAAAACTTCAAATTATGCTACTTTTAATGCACATTTAAAATTAAATGCATGCTGAAGCTTGTTGCTTTGAGAAATATATTCTCATCATTTAACATCAGAAGCTATGACTTAGTAATGCACCACTGGTGCTGTATCCAAGTTTTATACTTTGCCATTATTTTTATTTCATCTTTATTTAATTATCCCAAGTCGTAAAAAGAAATTACATTAAGCATTTGTTCTTAAATTGCACCGTTAGCAGCACAATAAAAAACAAAAAAACAAAATTGTACATACTGGTTCTAAACATTGTAGCTGTAAAGACTGGGCTGACAAGGAATCTGTCGCACTATCTGTGCTGTTATTTTCATAAATATGTCAGAGGCATTTCATTTTGAATTTATCAAACAGATCAAATCTCATATCATAAAACAGAGAAGGTTTAGGCACAACAGTGTTTGCATGTGATGTTTATGGTGAAAAAAACAAATGCACACATTACCTCAAAGACACTCGAGTTTGTGGACAGCCTGGACCTGGAGGTCCTGGTTTCACCAGAACCAAAGGTTTTAATGGGAGAATCAACAGCCCCAAAAAGAAGACGCACAGGAGACTGAACTGTTCTCACATCAACCTCACAGATTTTACTGTCTCCGAGGCTGAGCTGGGATGCAGAAAAAGCCCTCTCGAGGTTTCTGGAACGAGGCTGAGAACTTGAGTAGAAAATGTTTGAGTGTCTTCGAGCAAACTTCTTTAATCTGGGGCTCCTTCTCAGAGCTAAAACAAAATCACAAATGAAAAATACATTTATTGTTATGGCCAAAGCTAAAACTGCACTTCTGGTTTTAGGATGAGAAAAGCCAAATGGAAGTACCAAAGAAAAAAACACTTGAATACCATAAATTTTATAGAAACAAAAATATAGCAAAAATAAAATACCATCAGTAGGTTTTTCTGGGGATTCTTCCACAATACACTCCTCAGCAAGATTAGATGTTCTGTGAAGGTAGACACAAAAAATAAAAAATAAAGTTAAAGATTTTTAACTTATGGTCAACAACTGCAGATATTTACAGTATTTACAATTTGGTGCAATATCAAAGAAAGAATATTGACTAAAACATACCTCCCAATCTTCTGGCGTTGTAGGAGGCGGCTTGATACTTGCTTATGGATGGGTGTTTCACACACTTTCTTTGTAAGAAGTTTGTGTCTCTCTAAAAAAGACAAACAAACATTCTTATTAATCTACACAATCTATTACAATTTTTTTAAAATATTGATTTTAAAACATCAGTCTCTGAACACTGGAAAACAGTCTATTTTGAACTATATAACTGCTGCAACAACGTTTTATAGAACTGTGTTTACCTTGAGATTCATGAGAGCGTTTGCGTTTCAGTCCCTCCACTGCAGAAACAGATTGGCTCCTTGGCAGTTTGACTTTCTTTGAGGGAGAAACAATCTCCTGATTGAAAAGATTTCTTCTCACTTTAGTCACCTCTGTGGATCATGAAATGTAAAGAATGCACGTTTGAAAACTAGAATATTAATATAGTGATATTTTCTTCAGTTATCTACTTTCTTACAGTATGTTCTTTTATTTTTTATATTGATACTGTAAAATATAAGATGCCGTGTTAACTTGAAAGGAGACACACCTTTCTATTCAGTGATAACAGTTTATCAGGCAAATATAAACTACCTGAAAGATGAGTAGTAAATTATTTTAGTTTCAGTTGAAACTGTGAGTTTGTTTTCGCACAGAGTTGAATAAAACTGATTCTTGTTCACCACAATGTTTCTAATAAAAAATAAATAAAAAGGTTTAGGACATTGTGGACTTAGTTAAAAGGGTTTGCTTTACAATTAACAAAAACTACCAGGTGTTGCAACTGAGCAGCAGGCACTCAAATGAAAACAAAAAAATTAAATTTTGCTCACACCAATCTTAAAAAAGCAAAGTAATTATTACTACATAAATAAAGTATTTATGGTCTCAAAAGAGGCCATAAATACTTTATTTATGGCCTCTTTTGATGTATTGTTCTGTTGCATGCCCTGTTCTAGTTTCAGCTTTAAACAAACATTTTGCTTTCAGCAGTATGTTAGCATGTCAAAGAAGTTCCTGTTAAATCCTCCACATACCTTGTTTTTCTTGTTTCTGAGCTTTTAGTTCTTTCACAGGTTTCTCTGAAGCAACAGAAATTGTTGTTTTGGACTAAAGGAATAAAAAAAAAAAACAAAAACAGGCACTTAAACCAGATATGTACATGATATAATTTGCATGTCAAAAAAATAACTGACCAGTTTCAGACTATGTCAGTAAAGAAATAAATAAATGCCATACTACAGCTCTTGTAGTCTTCTTGGGCAGTTCTATTTGACGCAGACTCTGGGTTGCTTCAGTCATACTGCGATGACGAGTCAACCTCCCACTCCTTTGGAGATAACAAATTACAAAATTAAAGTCCATAAATTAACAATAATGAGCCCCCAAATCCTCAACTTTCCCAGTGTCATCTAAACTCAAAACATTTCCATTTTATCTCCATTTTTTCCTAATATGAAAGCAACAGTGACAATTCCTTTCCAGCAAACACGCATCCCCACCTCCTTTTATTGGCGGATCGATTTCGCAGGTCCTGCAAGTCATCGTCTTTGCCATCTGAAACCTGGCTTTGTGTTGAGATGGGAGGTGAGGCAGCAAAAGGAGAAACACTTTCCTTGGCAACTGATTCGTCGCTGAAGAAGTCTGCTGGCAGAGCCGAAACTAAAGCGTCTGGCAGCTGAATACCCAAACTGTGGTAGATGTCTCCAAGCACGTTGGGAACGGCAGTCAGGAACCTGCAGTGACGGAGAACGGCAAATTCTTTACGTTCTTAAAAATATGAGAAATGTCTTCAATGTGTGCTTAAATAAATTTTTATATTAGCTGTGTTTTAAAAAAAACTTTTCTTGTACAAAATTCAGTTCTGCACACTTACCCCGGGAGGATTTCATCTTGAAGGAACCTTGCTAGGTAAACTGGATCTTTTGTTAAAGAGATTATTCTGAGCATTTCAGCTGCCTGAGGAAAATAAAATGTTTCAACTTAATTACAGTCTCTGCATAACTGATAAAACTGACAAAATACTTCAATCTGTGTTTTATAATTATAATGAAGATTAGAAGTCAAAATGTAAAACAAAAACCTAAAATATTTTTAAAGGGATACACATTAGTTGTAACAGACTTTATTTGATAAACATATATTTTAACTGTAAAATAAAGACTATAAAAACACTGTAGGCTGTTCAGTTTTGTAATTTTTTCAAAAATATATTTTAACACAGACGGAGCCATTTTATTTACACACAAAGCATTCTGGATAAATGATGACGTGGATAGGTCCTCGGTGCGAGGCTGCTATATCCACCCTGAAGGTTAATCTTGGAGCTAGCACGAAGGCTAACAGGCTAAGCTGAGGTTCTTCTTCCATGAAGCAGCTCTGTTGTCCTCCATCCATATTTTCAGTTACAGGCTGAGTCATTTCTACCTTCTCCTCTCTGTCAACGCTCTCTGGTTTTATTTAAAAGAGTCGATCATCAGATATTGTCCAAGATTAACCTTCAGGGTGGATATAGCTCGCTCACACCAAGGACCTATCCACGACACCATTTACCCAGAATGCTTTGCGTGTAAATAAAATGGCTCGGTCCGCATTTTTCAAAAATTTAGTTTAAAAATTATAAAATGTAAAAACAGTAATTTTACAGTCTTTATTTTACAGTTAAAACACGTGTTTATCAAATAAAGTCTAATGTTACAACTAATCGTGGATCCCTTTAAGCTGGTACTACTCAAGTGTTATGACCCACTCACTTCCTCCGCCATCTGATCAGCATTCAGAGAATCAGACTGGGTTGAGGAGAAAAGTCTGCACAACTCCAGCTGTAACACCACCTGCAGCTGGCACCTGAATCAGACAGTTCTGAATTTTATTGACTGGGAACAAACTTACTTTTATAAAAGAAAATGGGAAAGGCCATTTTGATTTAAAAATAGGTCAAAACTCAGAACGACTCACTCTTTGACTTTGTTATCAGCATCAGCAGAGACTCCATAAAGCTGTCGGATTGATTTACTGGTCTTCAGGAGGTGCTGTTGAACAAATAAGGCTGCCTTTACCTGAAAAAAATATATATAATTATTTCTGTCCAATAGTCACATTAACTCTTGAAAGCATTAACTTTAAAGTTCCCTACCTTTTAAATTATTTTTTATAATGAATATTATAATTATAAAATAATGAATATAAATTTGCCAAAAATACAAACTAAAATGTGAAGAAGTGAATGTCAGTCACTACTTTTCATGACAGACTTAAGACTCAGATTTTCACATTCACATTTTATGATGACAAGGGATGGAGTTATCAGTGTGTGTTGTAAATAACTCAGCTGTTTCCACACACATTTTTAGCTCAATATCTGTAAAAGTGTTTGACTTATAGTCATTTATGTATTTAGTAAAGTCAGCTGGCTGTGGCAGACATCTTTTATTGGGTTGCAGAGGTACAACTAGGAAAAATGTATCAGGATATAAACGTTTCATCTCAGTCAATATAAATTTTTAAGTTTTTTTGTTTTACCTATAGGAAATAATGACCAAGAGTAAAAAGGCTGATTAATACAACCAAACTGGGGACGTGACCTTTCCTCTCAAGCTGTTGCACTCGTTTTCTCCTTTCACTCCACGTTGTTCTTTTTTATTTTTAAACATGAAACTGCTACTGTTACTCAACAGGTTGATGCTATTTTACCAAAGAGTGAGTGAGTTAGTTGATGCCACTAACCTTGTAACAAAAAATATAAACTTAGGGAAATTAATGCTCATCTACACTTTAGCACCTACAAATTTAATAAATATTAAAAGTATTAACACTCCAACAATATTAAAAAGACAAATATGTCACTTAGACAAATCTCACCTCCCATCCTGATTGCATGAGAAAGGTTTTTACTTCAGCCAAAAGCTGCTGAACACTTGTTAGGAGAGACTGGTCTCTTTCTGCTACATTCTTGTCATAACTGGCCTTCAGATGAGACAGCAGCTCCTCCTCACTGCTGAAGGCTGAGCAGAAAAAGTAGATGAATTACTTCAAGTCTCTATATAACAAGAAATCATTGATTGGACATTATTAGACAAAAGAGTTGTTCTGTGATAAACATTTAGTTTACGGCACTCACTGACTGTACTCCTTCCTTCTGATTTACTCCTTTCACTACACCGTCTCCTCCCTGGTCTGCCTGATCCCCTACACTCAGGCCCGAGCTGATCAGAATCGGTCTGGTTCTTTTGGGCTTTGACATTTAGACGTGCCACATTCAGCATTTGCAAAGAGCGGCTCATTGTCTTCATCTTCTGCTTCACTGGTGTACAGTGTGCGCCACCTGCAGGTCAGAACGGAATTTGAAAATACATAAATGAAACAATTTCATGTAAGATATATTCATAAACTCCTTCATTAAGATATTTAAAGTGGAGGACAAAAAAACTGTTTAACTAAATGAACATTTACATTTCTAAACATTAAAAGTAATAAAAATAAATTTAAAAGCTAAAATGAAAAGGTTTGCTTACGTTTCTTGCCTCTCTTGAGGGCCGAGTCCTGGGATTCCTGGTACAGTTCAGACAGACCACAGACCAGTTCCTGCTGAGGGGCAGAAAACTCCTCATCGCTTTCTTGCTCTGGAACTGCATGAAGCAATCTGAAACAGTGGAAGACCGACAGGATGTTTAAGTGTTTTTCTAATTCTTACATTTATACTGTATGAACAAAAACGTGATTCTGCCAACAAGAATGTTGAACAATTTTAATTTGTTACCTTATTGATTCCATTAATTGTGCGCTGACACCAGCCTGATCCGACTGAGGGAACCACGTCTCCAACATGTCAGTTGTTTGCAGGTTTTGGGTCAACTCCTGCTGAGCCCACTCAGGTACTTGATGATCCTTTAACTCATCTGTTGATTAAACAAAAGCAAATGGGTACACTTAATAATAATAACAATAACAATAACAATAACAACAACAACTATTATTATTATTATTATTATGCAAATGCCTACAGAAAAATAAAGTTATTACTGTTCTTGGTATTTCTGCAAGTTTTACTGATTTACAATACATCTCCAATACAAACACCAAAAGTTATTTTTGTTTTTTTGCTCCAAAGAAATAAATGCACACTGCCATGAACAAACATGTTCACTTGTTTTGTTTCAACGCCTACCTTTGGTCCCATCCTCGTCTTTGTTCATGATGTCATAAATGACTCCCAGGACACTGTTCACCACATCTGGTAGATCAGGAGGAGTTTCAGCTGTGACCGGGGCAATCATCTCAGTCCTCAAAAACTGGTCCCGCTGAGTGACGACTGGTTGAAGAATAGTCAGCAGCGCCGTGGAGGGTGACAGCGGGGAGAAGACAGCCGAGTAGAGCAGTCCATTATCTTTGACTTCTGCAAGCTGTGGAAACAAGTCAGAGTCAGAAATTACTTACAAGAGACATTTTAGATGCCGATATTTGCTAACAACATTGCAGCCATTTGCAAACATGGAATCATCACTATTTGAGGATCTTTATCTGGCTCATTTCCCAGAGATGGACAAGATACAAAGTTATGTTATTAATAGCAGTGTAACAATTCATGTATCTGTATCGAACCGTTCAATACAGTGCTTTAGGTTCAAAACACACTATGTATGTAATAATACAGGTTTTTTAAATTTATTTTATCAACTTGTCTTCTGAAGATGCTCTTTGTTGAAGGATCAGTGGATCTGTGTTCGACTACTCCACCTAGGCTGCATTGTCGAGCTCAGATCCACTGAGAAACTCGCTGTTTCAGCAACATTTAATTTAAAAACTGGACCTTTGAGCTTAAACAAATGTTCATAAATAATTTCAATAAATTACAAGTTAAGAAGGGCATGGAAATCTCTCCTCTTTGTAGGGTTGGGCGATATCGGCAAAAATTAATCACGATTAATTGTGGTAATTAGCCGATAACAATTAATTTGACGATTAATCCCCTGGACACCCTTATGTCCTAGTCACATGACCAATTTAGTGGGAAAGATTTGCTCTTCATAAAAATCTGTTCCAAATCGATTCAAAATTACAGACTTCAGGCTGTACATCAAATTTTCAATTGTGTTGATAGATAAATAAATTACAGAACTTTTTAAATGTTCGTCATATTTGAAGCGAAGAGGAGCACCGAGCAAACTCTGCCTGGTGGCATTAATCGCATTAATCGTCAAGTGCAAAAAATTATCCATTAATGTTTTTCTGACGATTAATTGCACACGACACGATTATTACCAACCCTACTTCTTTGTATCAAAAATATCGAACCGTGAGACTAAAGTATCGAACCGAATCGTGAATTTTCTGCATCGTTGCACCCCTAGTTATTAAACATATGAACATTAGATTAAATTAAAAATGCAGCTAAAACAAACGCTTCGACAGAATCTAAAGGTTCTGGTTCAGGAACAATGGGCCTCATGCAAGAACATGTTCGTATTTTTATCCTAAATTTCTCTTACTTTTGTTCGTACAAAGGGTTCGTATGAACATGCCACGTCAGATTCAACAAACTCTTCTATCTTCAGGAAAAGGGTGTAAATGAGCTGCGTAAATTACACCTGTTTGTATCCAGCTGCTCGTGCACGTGAGAGGAGATTAGCATAATTACCACCCCAAAAACACCATATAAGGTTATGTTTCCTGCCTCAGATATCAGGAAGTGTCCATTCATGAAAAATGACAACGAAAACTAAAAATAAAAACTTTAGGAGTTCAGAGATTGAAGTCCGTCTGTCAGAGATCCAGAAAAGAAAATCTGTCATTTTTAGCAGGTCAGCTGTGGGATAAAAAAGAGCTGCTAAAAGTATAAACAACTGTGTTAAATCATTTTCATTTATTCAGAAGCCGCAGCGCTGCGCACCGTAACCCCGTGACACTTTTCATCATAATATCATTGAGCCAAAATGTTTAAAAGTGTGACCAGACAGGAGAGTCTTTACAGAATATGCACATAAATCCTTGTCCTGAGTTAAACTGCGCTGCTGTGTTTAGATGTCTCACCATATGAAGAGAAAAACCAGACAGTTGCTGTAAGAGTTGCAGGAAGACAGCAGCTTCCTGCTCATTGCTCCTGGAGGCCTGAAGCACCCAGGTCTCTGCAGGTGTTTGTGTGAGTGTTGAAGCATCCCAGCCCTTCAGCACTCCCTTCAGATACATTTCTACAGACTCCTGCAGAAGCTTCTGTCTGCGAGAAACTGGCTCCACCAAAACACCACAACTTTGAGTCACATTTCCTGGTTTAGTGAAAAACAAAAGACAACACAAATGAATGACTACAAATAAAAGACCACACAGTATTTATGACCTATAATCCTCATCACTACATAAGAGTTACTGCTTATGCTTGTTTGATTTTATAAAACTATTTATGGTTTCTTTGCTTGTATGTTAAAGTGATTTTATTTCAACAAACCTCGATCCCACTGCAGAACACCGTTGATGGCAGGAAAAGCTGAGCGGTATAAACTTTCAGAAGCCAGGAGATAGCTAAAGCTGGACCTGAATGGAAAGGCCTCTCTCGTGAAGCCAGAGTCTGCTTGGTGTTCACAGCAGAGGTTCATCAGTGCAACCAGTGAGATCACTCTGCCACCCACTTGAGCTAGGACCTCAGATAGCTTTTCAGAGCCAAGGTAGTCCTCGCAGCTCGTAACCTGCAACAAATACACAATTGTTTTGCTTATCAATTTAACTTTATTAAACCAGGTAAATCCCATTCGCAAGAGAGGCCTGGGCTTGAAAGCAACCAAACGTGCATGTTTTTGATTTGTGGGAGGAAATCTGAGTGCCCGAAGAGAACCCCATGCAAGCACAGAAAGATCACTGGTCCCATTAGGGTCAAATCCAGGACCTAATAAACATCAAGTGTTTACATTGTGAATGTGGGGTTATACATAGATTATATTATTGTTTGAAAACATTTTTCTATGACTACAAAGACAGATTTTGTAGATGTACTTTTTAGACCAATGTTTCCCAAAGTGGGGTCCCGAAACATCAAGGTGGGGTCCTGAAAAGATTTTCTGAATTAATTACATTTTTG